GGCGACGGTGGTGGCCTCTCCAGCCTCCTCGGACTGCGATCGGCGCGACGCGAGGTCAGGTATGTGAGCGTCTGTATATTGATGTAGCGACCAGGACGACTTCTCTCCGCCAAGGCCGCGCCAGCGCCCCTCGGCCGGCCATGCACGGTCTCCATGTAAATAAGCTGAGGTGACGTACTGTTCGACGCCGCGAAATCAATGTTTGCTCCAAGGTGCCAGCCGTTGCGGGCTGCCGCTCGACAGCGTTGAAAATGGCGGCGGCCCGCTACCAGAACAGGCGTCTCATGTGCGAAACACATCCGGCATCGCCTTGTTCCCAGATCCAATGGCCTTTGTCACTTCTGTTGGACTTCCTTCCACTGCAGCTCGTGGCAGGACGTTCGATGCGTTAGAGCGTTTTACAAATATGTCAGGCGATAGAAAACTCCTCTTCACGGACACCGTGTATTAATCCTCCAAAAGCTGTGTTCAACTGCGACCAGCATCGCACAATATCAGCAATGGATGGTGTGAATCATGACGGTACAGCCTCGATGGTACACAGGAGTCCCGTCGAGACGACCGGTACCCACCAATCTTTCTCTACTTGCCGTCGGATCGCACTGGCACGCGGCAGCAAAGCAGAAAAAGACAGGTGGTGACCGGTCTGACGCCGAGCGGCGCCGTCTTCCTCCCGCCGCCGCGCCGTCAGCCCCACTCCGGGCAAGGAGACGCGACTTCTCTCCCCGGCGGGCGGACACGGGACCGCCGGACAGCGGCCGCCTGTCCGCCCGACCGGGCCGGGGCGCGTTACCATGGCCACTGACCGGCCCACCACTCTCGGCCCGGCTCGGCGGCCGTCTCCGCTGCAGGACACCGGCTGCAGGCGCCCGCCCGGCAGGTCGTCGCGCATGCAAATCAGGCGGACCGTGGCGCGGCGGCCTTGACGCGGTGATTCGCACGCATAGCGAATGCGCCGGCGGGGCCTGGTCGACGCGCGACTCGAGGCTCGGCCGGCGCGGGTCACGGCCGACGCCGGCCGAGGCGGACGGCCGGACCGGGCGGCGCTGACGACGCGGCGCGGAGCTGGGCGGGCCGGCTCAGGCCTCTCGGCTGGCCTCGCCGCCGCGCAGCGCGCCCTCATCTCCATGCGGCGCGCGCCAGGGGGCCGTCACGGTGAGATGGGGCGCCGGGCGCGGCCCGCCCTCGGACGGCGTCGCCGCGGCGCCCTCAAGCTCCACCCGGGGCACGCACCGGCCCCAGCCTGGCGCACGTGGCACCCGCCACCTCCCGGCCCAGCAGCCGCCGAAGCCGGCCCCACCTCCGGCAGGCCGGCGCCGCCGCCCAGCGGACAGCGTCACTCGATGCGGCGCACCACGCGCGGCGCATGCTTGGTGCGGCCACCGTGCCGACGCGACCAGAGGTGACGCTGACGCGGCCGATGCCGCACCGCACGGCGCGCGCCCGGGCGGGCAGAGCGGACGGACAGAGCGAGCGGGCTGAGGTGTTTGGCTCTGGGGCGCACCGGCGACAAGCCACTCCCCCCGGGCGGGATCTGAACTGAGATTAGCTCTGGCCCTCACCCTCGAGTGTGAACTCCGTTTCCAGACACGGAAGGCTCGATAACGTCACATTGTCGGGAGTGTCCGGTCCCACCGAACCCGAGGATGCCAGTCCAGGATCAGGCGTTAGATTCCATGGAGGCTCAGGCTACCGAGCCACGCAGTCGCGGATGGTCAGCCCTTCCTTTAGCCGTGACCGCGCCTCTTGGCAAGTTTTTCGCGACTGACTACGCGCACATAAGTCCGGCAGCCGGACATCAGATGATGATGCAACTGAGGACATCAGAACAGGACTGGACACCGCGGAACGGCAAAGGCCAGAAATCAGCGGACAGTCGGGCGTTGCAAAAAAATCAGAGACGCCAGAGACAGCGGCACGTCAACGGCTATCATTGTGATAGCCACCTGTCATCACATAACAGAGACGTGCATGGAATATCTCAGCATGAACTGGCTCGTCTGAGCCTTCTGACCGGAACGTTAAAAGAAGGGCATTAGCGGACATGGCAGGTGACCGATGCCAGCGAGGCAGAAAAAAACATCCTCAATAGCATCGTCAAAACGCGTGGTGCTCTCTATGGCAACTAAAATCAAACCCTGTGCATGAAGGAAAGTACATCGTAAGGTGTTTCCGTCTCCATGAGGTAAATGAAGGTACCGCGGGCGATACCGATAGCACCGATGCCGTACACCTCACGCATGCACGAAACACAACTAAATGTTCCTTTGCTGATTTCACTGTTGTGGCTGGTAAAACTAAATGAACAAAGCAAATCGACGGAGCGAGGTCGCTGGAATCCTGTCCTCCCTACAACACGAGCTAGATTTCGTCCGCAAACAGTAAAATGAGCCGGTGATCAAAAGGCTGAGGAGCGATTGAGTCTGATAGCTACAGACCACTGTTACCTACACCAAGGGAGCCGTGTCCAGCACAACGCACGTCACCACGCTGACGTCACCCGCGCTTACGCCCCACCAACTAAAACCGAGGACGTCCGAACGACACCAGCCGACCCTGCCTGATCCCGGGGGCCTCGCACTAGTCACTCGCCGCCCGCGGCCGCGGCGCGCCCCGGAGGTCCCGACGGCCGTCGGCGCCCGCCGGTGCTCGCGCCCGACCCTCCCGCCAGCCGACGTCGAGCGAACTGCGGCGTCGGGCGAGCGGCCGCCGCCGCCGGCCGCGGGAACACTCCTTCGGCCGGCCTTGTGGTGGGCACGTGGTCGGGGCAGAGGCGCCGCCAGCAGCGGGCAGCGGGCGGCGCCGCGGCGATGGCGCCTCGCCGACAGCGGGCCATTAGTTCATCTCGCCGCGCTCGCCGCAGTGTCCGTCGGCCTGATGGATGATCGGCGCCGCGCAGGCGTTGCCAGGAAGAGAAGCCAGGCTGAAGATGCCAGGAAGGGCCCCGGCGGGCGTCGCCAGGGAGAGCAGCCTGGGTGAGGTCGCCAGGGAGGGAGGCCAAGCGAACATCGCCCAGGAGAGAAGCCAGGCCGGGGTTGGCAGGGAGGGAGACCAGGCGAACGCCTCCAGGGAGGGGGGCCAGGAAGGGGTAGCCAGGAAGTCAGGCTAGGCGGCGGTCGCCAGGGAGGACGGCCAGAAGGTGGTCGCCGGGAGGCAGGCCAGGTGAGTGTTGACAGGGAAGGAATCCAGGTAGGCGTCACCAGGAAGGGCCCCCCAGGTCAGGGTTACCAGGGAGGGAGGCCTGGCAAGCGTAGGTAGGAGATTTCACCTGACCTCGTAGATATCGCAGACGCCCCAGGGATGAAGGCTGGAAGGGGAGGAGGAGGAGGGCTTCCTCATTGAAGAGGAAGTGCGGAGGAGGACTTCGGAAGGGAAGCGAAGAAAGGCGTCTTGGTTGGGTGAGGGCGCCAGGGGTGAAGACCATGTCCTCAGGGAGAGGGGTAGAGGTAGGCGTCGCCAGGGAAGGCACGTAGATGGTAGAGGCACGAGTCGCCACGTGCACGGAGCGAAAACGGGCGTCATCTGTAAGGTCTGATAGAGGCGACGTTTGCTGTGAAGGGATTCGAATAAAAGCCGAATGGGACATGAAAGAAAAGGGAAGGCGACTAAGGTTTTTCTAGCAGGGAGGAAGGGACGCGGCGGTCGGTGCGTCTTGCACGAGTGACAGCCATAACCAGCCGGGTGGGTTCTTTGACTCGGGGGCCGGCAATTACCAAACATCCACGACAATCTCATGTCCCGTTAACTTTCAAATTCCTCATGGTGGTGCTATGTTATGTTTAGCAGCACTCTCTGGCATCTAAATGCGGCCGGTCTGGCCACTCTCTTCCAATCCATGACGCGGCAGACCGATACGTTTGACGAACGGTCTAGGCCTTGAGTCAGACTGATCGGAGCTTGCTATCTCCGGCCGACCAGACGACCCCGTGGCGTGTGTTTATCCCAGGTCTGGGCCGCCTGACGCGGCAGGGCCGGACTGCTGCGCCGCGCGCGGTAGCCGCCCCTGGTGAGGCTGCCGGACCGCCCGGCCGGCCCGCCGGGCGGCCGCACCGCTGCATAATGAGGAGTGGCCTCGCGCCAGCCGGGAGCGAAGGCCGTGCGGACGACGGACGTACAGGGCTCGTTGGGGTCAGACGGGCGAGGAGCGGGGAGCTGCAGGCAGCCCGCGGCCGCGTCAGGGCGTTTGAGTGTGTCCTGGCTCTAGTGTGCACGGCCGTTCAGAACAGTTCTGCGCAGTGCGGTGCAGCATCAGCGCACACTGCAAACCGACTGACAACAGCGCTGAATTCCGATCTGGTCAGATGTACAGCCTTTAATTACCGACTGGAGCTGCCGCTACGAGTGAATAAGCAGACGTTACGATTGGCTGACAATCTGCTCACTTTCTACATCTGCCCGAAAACGGCCCAGCTTCTCCAGCAGCCTTGATGGCTGCGGTGTGGCCAGATGTTTCTCCTCCCTTCAGCCACAAATGGGCACGTCTCCATAGCGCGGTGAACAAACACGGCGGCGATTACACCCACGTGACAAGGCCCGATCAGATCGCTGACACGGGCCGCGAGGTTAGCGGCCAGGGTGTCGGTCTTCGGGGCGTCGGATTCGGGCGGTTGCGCTACGATGCGCGTTTGTGCTTGGTGTCGGATCAGGGTCTGTGTTTGGGTTTGTCGCTTGCGCGTCTGCCTGCTCATGGGGTGAGAGGAGCGGTAACAACAGTAGCTCGGGTTCGCCGTCCGTGGTGTAGTTCGGGAGGTGCCCTGTGTTGCGACGCCTCCTCGACCGGACCGAGGGCCCCGCGCCTTTCCGTCAAATGTCAGTTTTCTAGATAGCTTGGCATCCGCTAGGCACATCTCTGATTAAGACAGTGCATTTCAGTGCTTGGCATGGGCTTGATGCCTCGTAGACAATTATATCAACATTTCGTAGGACGTGTTGCCAGTTGTGCACCACATGACCACACCAACACGCATGATCAGGAGATGTGACCATGGCCATCCACTCACCTCTCCCACAGGATGAAGCCGTTGTCTTCCAGGGTTGGCACGGTGTGCTGCGGGTTCAGCTGAAGCGGAAGGACTCGGTCAACGGTCAGCGGGGGCGCCGTGCATTTCTTACGGGCGGCCAGGCGACTCAAAATGCATCCCCACAACACGCCGCCGTTCACTTCCGTGAGCAAGCAACGTACTCTGAATAAGTGACAATCTGAACTAGTGATTGCTTCTGAGGTAAAATAAGCAGCATGCATCTGCATGCCGGGCATTTGTGGTGGCAACAGGCATCGACAGGAAATGTCAGGTGCCTCGGAGTACTTAAACATCAGCGTCTAACGGTTGCCATGACCAAACCGGCTCCACCAAAAACGTCAGCCCGCAGCCATATTCCTGCACACTGTGAACATCGCATGCGCCACACGCTGAGACACGGTGTCAGTTGCAACTTGGACAGCTTACTGTCCAGCTGTTTTCGCTGCAAGCCCATCATCCACCTGAAAATGTCTAAGACGGAGGACAGCCTCCGATCGGTAGCCAGCGTTTTTAATCAGATATCTAACAAAACTCCCAAGTTTCATGGCATTTCGAGCAATCGGTCGCCTGCAACGCGCCCGACGTGCATCTTAGAACATTCCGCACCTTCACAAACCAGGCCATCATGTGTTCCATCTTCCTCTGGATGTCCATCTTCTTGAGATCGACTTTGAGCTTCATCTCCTTGATGCACATGAGTACGGCCCGGCAGGACGTGGACATAGGGCTGTACATCAATTCCATGGTGTCGTCACCTGTCGGCGACAGCGATGCTTAGAAAAAACTACCGACCTGAAGCAACGGATACAACGGAAGGGAAGGCCAAGAATCACGGCATACCGAGCCAAGGTGATAAATGCGCGTTGCGAGTTGGATTGCGCCTGGCAGCACCGCAGTTGCGTAAAAATCATGGGTATATAATCGATACGTATACTACTATCAGATGACTATAAACATGAGGGTGCGAAGCGGTCACGTTGGAAATGCACCCCACACCTGAAACACCTAAATCATAAGGGGGGATGGGCCAGTGGACACCGGCCGCAGCCAAGCTCCGGCTGGTCACCGAAATTAACTCCCTCTTCCAGCCGTCAACGGAGAGGTCCCTCTGGCAGCGGCCGGCCAGCTGGTGGTCATGTGGTGTGGCAGACCCGCCACCAGGAGGTCCCTCTGGCAGCGGCCGGCCAGCTGGCGGTCACGTGGTGTGGCAGACCCGCCACCAGGAGATCCCTCTGGCAGTGGCCGGCCAGCTGGCGGTCACGTGGTGTGGCAGACCCGTCACCGGGAGGTCCCTCTGGCGGTGGCCGGCCAGCTGGTGGTCATGTGGTGTGGCAGACCCGCCACCAGGAAATCCCTCTGGCAGCGGCCGGCCAGCTGGCGGTCACGTGGTGTGGCAGACCCGTCACCGGGAGGTCCCTCTGGCGGTGGCCGGCCAGCTGGCGGTCACGTGGTGTGGCAGACCCGTCACCGGGAGGTCCCTCTGGCAGCGGCCGGCCAGCTGGCGGTCACGTGGTGTGGCAGACCCGCTACCAGGAGGTCCCTCTGGCAGCGGCCGGCCAGCTGGCGGTCACGTGGTGTGGCAGACCCGTCACCGGGAGGTCCCTCTGGCGGTGGCCGGCCAGCTGGTGGTCACGTGATGTGGCAGACCCGTCACCGGGAGGTCCCTCTGGCAGTGGCCGGCCAGCTGGCGGTCACGTGATGTGGCAGACCCGTCACCGGGAGGTCCCTCTGGCGGTGGCCGGCCAGCTGGTGGTCACGTGATGTGGCAGACCCGTCACCGGGAGGTCCCTCTGGCAGTGGCCGGCCAGCTGGCGGTCACGTGATGTGGCAGACCCGTCACCGGGAGGTCCCTCTGGCAGTGGCCGGCCAGCTGGCGGTCACGTGATGTGGCAGATCCGTCACCGGGAGGTCCCTCTGGCAGTGGCCGGCCAGCTGGTGGTCACGTGATGTGGCAGATCCGTTTCTGGTGGCGCCGCCGTCTGGGTGCAATCCCAGCGATAGCCGACTGATAAAGAGCGATCGATCGACCCCGGGCCGTCGCTGTCCAGCTGGCGACCCCGCAGCAGTGGACGGATAGCGCTGCGTAACGTCCCAAGTGCCCAGGGGGTCGGTTCGGACAACACTGGGTAGGGTCGCGTCTGGTGGGCTCTGTTTTGCGTGATTCTGTCAGTTCAACGTGCTGTTTTGGCAGATGATAATGCAGCGCAATTGTTTTCAGCGCCATCAAAACGACCTTCCAGCTTAGATCCCTCACGAACGCCTAGTGTCCTGTGTCGACGACACAAAACTGTTTGACCGCGTTCATCTAGACCAACTATCCGTTTTGAAATCCCGACAGAAGGAAAACATCCAAGTGATTCAGTCGCCCCTCACACCTAGCTCCCATTAAATGAATCTCACCAAAACAACTCTCCCCCCTGGCACTTCACAATCCCTGAAAAAGTTATATTCTCACCTTGACATTACGGAACACAGCTTAAGCCTTTCGTCGTCTATGGAGATGCTGCTATCGAAAGCACCCTTTTCTGGGAGTTGCACATATCCCGTGTTGCTAAACGCCATGCTTTTGTGCTTGCATAAAAATCGTCACCATCTTACGCCCGAAGATCGTAAGCTTCTCATCCAGTCCCACGCATTCTCTCATCTCCCGCTCTGCCTCTCGGTCTTAGTTGGGGCTGCAGGGTGCGACCCAAACATAGTGTAAGAGGTGATAAACTTTGAGGACATTAATGTCACCGATACTCGTTGGCGAGATTCAATGGCGGCGACCGTCCAAGCGCTGAGTGTCGCGGTGTCAGTGACCTTGCCATCCACCGTGACGGCCTCGCTGTATTCAGGGCCCTTGAACCCGCGGCCGCCGGTAGAGGTCCGGACCCTGTTCACCCTACGCACTGCTGTATGACCGCGTGCCACCCGGGTGACAGCGACGAGCGCCCTTGATCAGCAAGCCCTTCACCTGTCGGTGGCGCGCAGGGCTTCTCCGTGCCGCACGACCCCATCCTGGAGTCGCCTGCCGCCGACCATCACCGCCCTTCGGACCCGCAGGAGCTTCGCACAAGACTGCCCGATATAGACGGTCCGTTGTGTAATCACGGCTTGCTTTCCGTCGTGCAACATGTTTCGACGATTTAGCTTTTGATTACTGATTTGGCTTTTGACAAAGTTGTGTGAACGACGGTATGGCTGATAACGTGCGAATGTGGTTGCGTTGTTGTCATGCTTTAATACTGCACTGATACTACGATTGCAACTGTACCGAATCACACAATAAGCCACATTTTGGAATGTTTCGTGAATAAAGTTAACATGAACCATGCGGAGGACAAATTCAGCGCCTATCCACGCACTTCTAAGCCACCAAAAAAATATAATCGTGAATGTATCATGACAGCGTGCGGCTCATTTTGGAGATTGTCTCAATAATCTAAGCCCTCTTGAACAACCTCCGGACGGAATTGGATATATGCTATATCATATGGATCTTTGGTGGGTCTGTTTTGGCTGCTATGCTATTTCACATTCGGGAGACACACCCTGACAGCTAGTCGGTCTCGCGCCTTCGGCAATCCATCGCATAATCTAAAATTAATTGACTTGCCAGAACCACTCAGCCATTTCTAGGCCCGCGGCGAAATTCTCCCGTGGCTTTTATATTAGCATACTAAACTACGCATGGATTCCAGTCTTGGATACGCGATTCTTTGTAATTAAACAAAAAGAAAGAAATGAATAAAATCGACAGAGCATGGCCGACGTGCTTTGATACTCGCTTCCCACAAGCGAGACAATTCTCACGCTCCATAATTAGGCCTGGGCGAATAGGTTCCCATTTGGAATCACCCTGCATGTCGAAATGGCCCCTGATCCTCTCCAAACATCAGGCACAATGGCTTTCCAGATTTATTGCTAATTGATTCTTAACCGTCCAACAACAGCAGCCCATTCAGCGACTGCAGGCCGATGACGACACCACACAGAGGTGGAGATGACTGCACGCAGACGCAGTATATCATCCACGTTGGCTCCAAGGCCGAGACCCGCTGCGCAGTGCGCAGCCAACACGACCAAGTGGCAGCTGTCCTGGCGTCCGAGTAATCCAGCCCTCTCAAGTGATGGTAGCTGGCAGCTGGTAGTTGGCTTAGCTGCGCAACCTGACAATATTGCGGCTTAACTGGGAGCGCTTTGAAAACGGCGACAGCCTTCAGAAAGTTGCTGCAGGTGAGCGCTCTGGTAGGTACGTGGCGCGCACGCAGGTCGTAAATCCCCCCCCCCCCGCGAGCCTGAGCGGCCCGTGCAGAGGAACCCCACCCCCGCCAGTGTGTTGGGATGGTACCTATGTCAATGCTAGGTGACTTCGGAAGGCAATGCATAGCATAAATCACCCTCAGATATTTTATATGGCATGATCCCCCACTAAGACATCCTCAAGTCCTGTAAGTCTTACGCCTGAAATACGATGTTACTGAGACATATAAAAGAGGTCACAAAGAGGTCTCTCCAGGTAAAGGAGGGGGAAAGAGAGAGAGAGAGAGAGAGAGAGAGAGAGAGAGAGAGAGAGAGAGAGAGAGAGAGAGAGAGAGAGAGAGAGAGAGAGAGAGAGAGAGAGAGAGAGAGAGAGAGAGAGAGAGAGAGCTCCTAGCAACAAGACTGAAGCAGACAAATGAGTGACAAATGAGTTTTCCATGAAACAAGATGTCATGGTTTTGTGAACAATAGGCAAACGTTCTTGGCTTCAAATTATCAAGCAAACCAGAAGCCGGATATCAGTATCGTCGCTCATGCTCTCCAGTTCACTCTCAAGAAACTTGCATGCGTTCCAATCGTTAAAATATTAGTCCATCGGCGTCAAAATGCAAATTGAAGAAGACAAATAGCAACACTTGGACACCATGCCAAATACTATAGGTCGGTTTCACCATTCATATAGATAGTGTTCCACCACCTGTTGGCCAGACTTGTGATCGATTCGGTTCAGAATCAGAATGGTCGCCAGAATGAAGCCAAAGTTGGGCGATTTAAGCTTCATTCGAATCAGTTTACTTGCAGTTGATCAAGGACCATAGGGAAATCTCCAGTCTCCAGGCTGCACGTATCTCACGCATAACAGTATTTGCGCAACACATGGTATCGTGTCCAGTGGCCGTGTCCATAGAAAACACATGATGTAGAGCCCACATCACGCGCGGGCATGTCCAGACGGCCCGGTCATCAGTCCGTCAGTCCTGTCTTCAGGTCATCAGGCGGTCAGTCCTGTCTACAGGTCATCAGTCGACCGGTGCCGTCCACATATAACGGGCTCGTTAGTCACTGATAACGTCCACCGGCCACGGGCGACCCAGCTGTATTCACAGCGCGCCAGTGTTCGAGATCACCGGCCCAATGGCCTCACTTGCAAGTCATCAGCCCGGTGAACAAGTCCACCAACGGTCACATCAGCCCGGTGAACAGGTCCGCCAGCGATCACAGCAGTCCGATGGACAGGTCCACCAGCGGTTACATCAGTCCGGTGAGCAGCTCCGCCAGCGGTCACATAAGTCGGGTGAACATGTCCGCCAGCGATCACATCAGTCCGCTGAATAGGTCCGCCAGTGGTCACATCAGCCCGGTGAACAGGTCCGCCAACGGTCACATCAGCCTGGTGAACAGGTCCGCCAACGGTCACATCAGCCCGGTGAACAGGTCCGCCAGCGGTCACATCAGCCTGGTGAACAGGTCCCCCAACGGTCACATCAGCCTGGTGAACAGGTCCGCCAACGGTCACATTATCCCGGTGAACAGGTCCGCCAACGGTCACATGAGCCTGGTGAACGGATCCGCCAACGGTCACGTCAGCCTGGTGAACAGGTCCGCCAACGGTCACATGAGCCTGGTGAACAGGTCCCCCAACAGTCACATCAGCCCGGTGAACAGGTGTGCCAACGGCCACATCAGCCCGGTGAACAGGTCCGCCAACGGTCACATAAGCCTGGTGAACAGGTCCGCCAACGGTCACATGAGCCTGGTGAACAGGTCCCCCAACAGTCACATCAGCCCGGTGAACAGGTCCGCCAACGGTCACATAAGCCTGGTGAACAGGTCCGCCAACGGTCACATCAGCCCGGTGAACAGGTCCGCCAACGGTCACATCAGCCTGGTGAACAGGTCCGCCAACGGTCACATAAGCCTGGTGAACAGGTCCGCCAACGGTCACATAAGCCTGGTGAACAGGTCCGCCAACGGTCACATGAGCCTGGTGAACAGGTCCCCCAACAGTCACATCAGCCCGGTGAACAGGTCCGCCAACGGTCACATCAGCCCGGTGAACAGGTCCGCCAACGGTCACGTCAGCCTGGTGAACAGGTCCGCCAACGGTCACATAAGCCTGGTGAACAGGCCCGCCAACGGTCACATAAGCCTGGTGAACAGGTCCGCCAACGGTCACATCAGTGTTTGCGTGTGCAGGGACGACATTGGCAGTAACAATGACATTTGTTTACATAACCTACCCATTAAAGAATGGCCGTTGCAAGATGTGTGACGTAATGCACCTCAAGGACTTCAGTGACGAGATTCGCACTTGGCGACGTGGACCAAAGCGGCAGCACAGAGACATACCATCACACGAGTCGCACAAGCGAAAAACCTCATCTAACCAGGGCACCTATCTGTTCAGGTGTGGTTTCACAACATCCCAGTCTCGCGCTAAAAAAGTCAAGGGCAGTTGATTGCGAGCGTCAGCTTCAATGAAGCAGTATCCGAGTGCCTGCGTTCAATCCGGCTCTAGGTTGTTGCAATGAACTACAGAATATTGCATGCGTTGATGAGAGGCGATTGAAAGCTGCCCTGTTTTTCCTCCTGGTTGCCCTGTGACTAACGTCTTCTCGCCCAGTTGTTGAGCCATGTCTGATCAGCTTGCCAGCAATGAAAGGCTTCGAATTCCATGACAATGTTCACACGACGCGAGTGACTAATTCAGTCGTCATCGCCATAGAAGCCAGGTCACCATCTCTGTGCCCACGTCCGCATGACAAAGGATCCCAGTTCACTGGCCACCACTTGTGCTCCGAGGACAGTGGTCCAGTTTTTCCACACACGGCATCCGATACCACAGCCGAGGTCACGGCCACAAGACAAGCAGGCGGTCACTCCATGGCGGTGTCCATGATGCGCAGACGGGCCATCAACCGATGCTGCCATGTCCACACGGCAGGGGGCGTCAGTCCACTGGTGTCATCCACGGGGCGATCATCTGATCATCACGCGGTCTGTTTGGGGGCTTGGGTCTTTAGTTCCATCGTCGTGATCAAAAGGCAACATTGCGATCGTACTCGTGCAGTGATGATCTCTGAAGGTTACCGGCCAAGGATAAAAACTACTAAAAACTTTTACCTCGGGTAAAAAATGCTGAGAAAACCTAGCGTATTAAAGCTGGCGAACTAGGTGTCTTTCAATGGAAGATGATTACACGTGCGCGGGTGGGGGTCAATTTGACCCGCCATAGGTTTTTCCGGAAGGGTTTCCGAACGGCGCGGCGTAGCCACGCCAAATTGTACAAGGCTGTAGAAAATTGAATAGCGGATCGTGTGGTATCAAATATTAGATTATCTTGTAGTCACTCACCTACGGCAGATCAAAGTCAGGCCATGGATTCACCAAAGTCAATTTCTAAGGAATCCTTCAATCTGATGGAACAACGGAGTGTTGGACAAAGCCATACATCTCTGAGATACTTTCTTAGGCAACACAACAATGGGATGGCCAAATTCCATTGACCTAGGGTGGAGTAAGAAGGGTAACTTGCTGCGTGAGGTAGCTTCTGACGATCATTTCGAATTTATTGAAAACAGGAACCGCATAAGACATTCCATGTCATTCCTAAAGGTCAGAATAGGTCACTGACCTAAAGTGGCGTCGGCCAACATTTCGTTTTAGGAACTTATTACCTAGTGTAATCTTTGTCGCTTGTTCAAATGCAAAATTCAAGGCAGTCTTGTATGATTTTGGTCACCATGACTCGAGGCCAATGGCCTTGAATGAACATGTGGCCTTTTGTTTAGAACAGGTGTCTAGGTTCTGGGACACTTTGCAGACCAACTTGGAGTTTGGCCTTGTTTGACATGATTTTACCAGAAGGTCATGACCTCGGGAACATTAGACTGTGACCTAAGTGAGCTCACATACAGGCCAATTCATCCCGTGAATTTTATGTTTCTAGCTCTCTTAGTTCCTGAGATCTCAGGAGGGGGTCAAATCGACCCCACCCCCACCCGAGCGAAGGGAATCCTACCGGCCACCCGAGTGCGTGTTAAAATGGCTTTTTCTGCGAGAGCTTAAGTCAGGCTTTCTATTCCGAACATATGCCGGTGTCAACAGGAACAACACAGAGTCACAGCTGTCAGACTATGAAGCTTAGCTTACCTATCGCTACAGTGGTCAGGACAAAGGACCGCTCACAGCTGGGAGGCTAAGGCGCCGCCTCCCAACCTGCGACTGCGCCCCCGACTTAGAGCTGAGCTGTACCAACTTGGCAAGCGGGTTTTTCAAACTAAGACAATATTTTTATTAACAATACCGAGAAGAGGTTGCAGCAAGGTAGGCGAAATAACATCCCTCCTTGGTATAGAAGTTTTAAGATGAAAAGTTGAAAAAGTGACTCACTACCGCGCTGCACGCAGCAGCGGATCCGTGCTTGGCACCGCTGATGGGTGAATGCACGCATGAACGTGAGCATCATCTACACCAGACCTTAAGAAGATGAACGCAACGCTAATCGGATTCCACTTTGCCGACCGCGAACAAGGATGCAAAACCAGCACACGAGCCGCCGGCGCCCAACACAGGTCACTAGCCGGTCGGCGACGACCGCGGCTGGCGACCTGTGCCAGCTGCTGGGCCCAGCAGCTGCTACGCGTCACCAGCCGGCCAGCGTCGGCCCCGGCTGGTGCGCCGAACTCCCACCTGGTGCGTCCGGCGCCGGCGCGGGGTGCCGTCGGTGCCCTGTGGTCGTCCGTCGGCGCGGCCCACAGTCCCGGCGCGCCGCCGCCACAGCCGGTGCCGCGCCGCCGCGCCGCCACCATCGCGATCGCGCCCGGCTGACGTCACCCATGCCCGACAGGTCACGTGACCGCGCCGCGCGGAATGTGGCGCGGTCTGCAGCGACGTGCAAGGCCGGGGAGGGGGGAGGAGGCTAAGTCGCGCATGGCGTGCTGGACCGCGGCGCTGTCACCCCCGTGTCGCGGAGGAGCCGCACCCGGGCGTCTGCCCCTCTGGCAGCTGCCTCGCCCACCCGGAACTGAGCTCAGCCCCGCCCGTTCAGCAGTCAGCGGCCTCAGCCCTGCCTCCGCCGGCTCTTTCGGTAGCTCCAACACAACTTAGCTCGGTTCTTCTAATAGAATCAGCGTCCCCTCTGCCCAGCTGCCTACAGCTCCAGCTTTACTCGAGTTCCTCCGCGGCTCCAGTTTCAGCTGAAGAGCGGTATTCGGGGCTTGCCTACATCCGTGTCGACCGCAATAGGTTCCCCATCAGGGAAGAGTTGATTACTGGGTGAGCTGAAGGCTTGTGGCGTTTTGGAATCTTCCTTATCTACAGACAACTTCCAGCGGAGCGGGAATATCCTCTCCCTCATTCAAAGCCAAGCTCGGCGTCATGACGCACCTGTTCGTGATTGCAAGAGAGGTTAAAATTTGTGGCGGAGCCCTGGGTCTAACGATCAATGACGTCAGAGCCCTGTGGTCTCATGTCCAGATGAAAAGTAACTTCGTCACACACGGGCAATCTACTCACCATCATTGTCACGAATGTGATTTAATCGAGTCACCGTTTCTCGCCTCACACAAACAGGTACTACAACCCCCGCTTTATGTGAGCCACGTAAATCATATTCTAGGTGTGTGGACACGTGCATTCAGCCCTAGACGCTTACTTCAAGAGTGCATTTTTCAGCCCAGCCCGCAGCTCCACGATTGAGCGGCCAGATACCACTGGAGCGACCGACCTCCGGGACACCCTCATAGCGGCCAGACACCACTGGAGCGACCGACCTCCGGGACACCCTCATAGCGGCCAGATACCAGTGGAGCGACCGACCTCCGGGACACCCTCATAGCGGCCAGACACCAATGGAGCGACCGACCTCCGGGACACCCTCATAGCGGCCAGACGCCAGTGGAGCGACCGACCTCCGGGACACCTTCATAGCGGCCAGACACCAGTGGAGCGACCGACCTCCGGGACACCCTCATAGCGGCCAGACACCAGTGGAGCGACCGACCTCCGGGACACCCTCATAGCGGCCAGACACCAGTGGAGCGACCGACCTCCGGGACACCCTCATAGCGGCCAGATACCAATGGAGCGACCGACCTCCGGGACACCCTCATAGCGGCCAGATACCAGTGGAGCGACCCACCTCCGGGACACCCTCATAGCGGCCAGATACCAATGGAGCGACCGACCTCCGGGACACCCTCATAGCGGCCAGATACCAGTGGAGCGACCGACCTCCGGGACACCCTCATAGCGGCCAGACACCAGTGGAGCGACCGACCTCCGGGACACCCTCATAGCGGCCAGACACCAGTGGAGCGACCGACCTCCGGGACACCCTCATAGCGGTAAGCAGTCCAGTTCACTTCCACTCACAGCTCTCCTACCAACCCCTGTCTCCACCAATCATGCTACATAATTATTCCGCGCGTCCCAAACAAATCAAGCGCCGACCGCTCTACTCACAACTTCCGCGAACGACAAACGCCTCGGTTCAGACACTGAGGTGGCACAACGAGGAATGATGAAGGTAGGAAGCACCTTAACCGAAAAAGGATAGTCCCTGCGCTGACAAAACGGACATGTCACACTCGCTTGGTAAATGGAGGCGTCGACCACTCGCACCATCCAACGATAATACATACATCCCGCTTCCATAAGCAGACAACCTAACCAAAACAATTAACTCAAAAATACGTTCATCGGGCCTCTCCATTTGAGTGACATGAAGACGTGGACGGAAGCTGAAAGACTATCTTGTTCAGTCATCCTTGACTTTCCTCGCTAACCCGCAGATAACTGCACATATGTCGCCTGCCAGGCTGATGTGATGGATAGGTGCACAACGCGCAATTCCATCCACCAGAGGGCATGTCAGTCGTGTACCCCTGATGAAAAAAACCTCCTATGTTGGTGTGCAATTGTTAAATAACATGTGTCTTTACAATCCGCGTGCCAACGAACATGAAAAAATACGCGTTTCCGAGACGTGGAAAACGGACCTTTGCGAACCCCTCCCGGTAGCCGCATTCTACGGAACACCTCACGGCCATCATCCTACCAGAAAAATCGCTCTCAGAATTGGGCGTGCTAAAATAAAAGTAAGGATGAGGCTCCACTAAAAAAAGGTAACTCACTGGCCATACGTCACTACAAATCAGACCTCACTGAGACGGCAGCTTGAGTCCCACCTCAGCCTTCTATGGTTCACTCCTTGTGGCATCTTTATCCCGCATGTCGTCCTACGGTGTGTGCTCAGCACATGTGATCGGTGATCTGTATTCGCTCGTATGTTGCTCTTGTGGTGCAAGTGCACATGATTGGGTTCATAAGTTCTTAGCCGAAGGTTCTTTCAAATGAGATCCTTTGGCACTTAAAAAAACGTGATTTGTAATTTCGCTAGTTTGACAAATGCTGTATTTTGAAAACTGACGCTGAGGAAGCCGCAAAGGCGAAAGTTTATGTGTTTTTGTTCCTTTTTGAAAGCACTATGGGACTTATAATCATTGTTCTTTGATAACCATATATCATGCTGGCCAAAGTAAAAAAAACAGAACACAAACATATATACATGTACATATATACATATATATATATATATATATATATATATATATATATATATATATGTGTGTGTGTGTGTGTGTGTGTGTGTGGTGTGTGTGTGTGTGTGTGTGTGTGTGTGTGTGTGTGTGTGTGTGTGTGTGTGTGTGTGTGTGTGTGTGTGTGTGTGTGTGTGTGTGTGTGTGTGTGTGTGTGTGTGTGTGTGTGTGTGTGTGTGTGTGTGTGTGTGTGTGTGTGTGTGTGTGTGTGCAAATATATAGCATTAGTTCATTGTAAGTCACCATTGAACTGTACGTAGGAATAAAATATTATCCTGCATGTCAGTCGGAATCTGGAAGACTGATACTGGGCCCGAGGTTTGAATTAAAAGCCAGGAAGTTGGTGGCGCGTGCTGTTTTTATCCCTACTTCGGCCGTCAAGGACTGTATTGTGCCGTCACCGCAGGTAAATGGCGTTGTTCATCTGACAAGCAGGAAATTTTAGCCTCGGACCTGCACGCGATTCTCTGATGAAGTTAACATTTTAAGTGTTTGTTAGATGAACAATGCCATCTACCCGCAAAATGACTGAGCAATGCGACTTTCACAGTCGGAGTATGGAGAAAAAAAAAATCGGGATGGCAGGCATTGATATTTTGAGCACGTTACTGAGCTCGACTCGAAGTCGTTGGTGCCGGTTGCGAGGTGCCGCTTTCAATGTATGTGTATCTGCATTAAGTCCTTTTTTGAGATGTTAGCAAGCATGTTTTGTAAAGGATAGAAGACTGGTTCCTTTAAGGATCATAAGCATAAGCACTCTCACTGCCGCTATGGTCGATGCCTTGCCCTTATGATCCCAGAAGTTCTGGCGTAAGTAGGTTAATTGCGATGGTTGCCAACCCCGCAGAAGTGATGTTTGAAATTGTTTAACGTTAACTGCATCTGACCTATCTGCTAATGCGTATATCAATCATCATCATGGCTATGTGAATTAAAGCTGTTAATTGCATCGGTCCTTAACGCCTGTCCCATCAGTACCACGGACTCTGAAAGCTTGCAAGCCCCAAAAATGAACTCGCAAAGAAAATTCGTGCAGAGATCCAAGCAAAAATATCTAATCGTAACTTTACAATCCAAATTGTGGTTACAGATGCTTCAAATATTTGTTAGCGGTCCATGTCGTACTGAGATTGGAAGCGTGTTGTCTAAGCTGCTCATTTCCGCGTGTTTTTTTCTCAAATTTCATATGTTTCCACTTCGGAAGGCCCACAGACTCCCACTGTTGGTCGGCAAAGCCCGCAGAGAGCCCCCGCCCCAGCTCGCGCCTTATGAACTTGCTGGCTAGAAAGCGACCGCCAGGGTGAAGACAACTGTATCGTGGATTATAAGGTTGACGAAATCACATCTGCTTTGAGCCGTTGGGGCAAACCGGTCTTACAGGTGGAGAGGCTTTATTTAAAGAATAAACAACAGCCTAACAACGACAGGCTAATCAGGCGGTAGCGTGCCAGCCCAACTATCCCGTAAGTATATCGTAAAGTAGTCGCAGTATTCCATTTTTATGATAACGTCTTCGCTGTAGCGTACCTCAAATGTTTCGGACACAGCGAGATGGTGGTTTCCGCAGATGCTCGTTGGTATTCTCGACGCGGTTAAGTAATTGGCAGTGTGGTTTGCCAGGGCAGTGAAGAATGTCACGCCACGCTAAATGTTGCTTAACACGCGCCCGGGTGGCCGGTTGAATACCCTTTGCTCGGGTGGGGGGTAATTTGCCCCGCTGAGATCTCAGAAACTTAGTGAGCTAAAGACACTAACTTCACAGGGTGTTTTGGCCTGTACGTGAACTCACTTATAGCAAAATTTGACGTTCCTAGGTCATGAACTTCGGGTCAAATAAGGTCAAACTAGATCAAACTTCAGATCGGTGTCCAAAGTGCCTCAGAACCTAGATACCTTTTCGAAACAAAACGCACGAACGAAACGAAAAAGGACAGCGAAAGACCACTGGTGCTCATTAAAGGTTACGACCTGTTGGACCTTAAGAAGATCATCGTGACCAAAATCCTACAAGACTGTTTTGAATTTGCATTTGAATAAACGTCAAAAAATACTCTGGGCAGTATGTTACTGAAAACAGAATGTTGAACTGGGTCATTTCAGGCCGGTGACCTGTCCTGACATATAAGAAGTCTATGGAAGAT